AGTGTGCTACGTTGCACAATTCTACATAATGTCGGAGTGTATGCTGCTTACAAAGTCTTAAAACTTACAATACAATACCTTCCATTATCCATTTCTTTTCAGTACCACATAAATGAAATTCAACATATGTCTAATACTAACATCTTCTAACATTATACAAAATCAAGAAATACCAAAAAAAGCCAAGCCCATAGTTGGCAAGTGTGTTTTGGTGTAATTGAGTATTCATGAAATCGATCATGTATTTTTGGGCAGTGTGGAATTGATACATGAAAACAGTCTTGCACATTTTTGGCAGTGTTGATTCATACATAAAAATAGTGTGGAATTCATCCATAAAAAGAGCTATACATTTTTTGGACAATGTGGAATTCAAACATGAAAATAGTCATATACTTTTTGAAGATGTAGATTTTATATATGAAAACACTGCCACATAAGTCAATGGACATTGCACTTCAACATGAAATTAAGGAACACACACTTACACATTGCCGTAAGATATAACAACATATATCTATTCTACACTGTCACATTAAATACTGACATATAAAAAACCACACTGCCCACTACACAGTTAAAAGTGAACAACCACACTGCCCAAAACAATCATATTTTTTGGCAGTGCGTAATAATATTTGCTGTTTAATTAAAAGATAAAATCGGAATCATAGGTATAGAACATATAACACTGTTATTTAGAATATTTTAATGCTCTAAAAGTGCTATTTTAGTTTTTCTCTCATACTACTAACGTTTTTTACCCTACCTATCACATCATATACCTTTTCACTAATAGTTTATCTATCAGATCTTATTTTTACCCAACACATCAAGGGCGAAATTGAAAAGTCAACCATAAATATACATTCCTTATTTTGTTTAAAAATCAAAATAGGAATAGTTTATTAAAACAGAGGAAGTATATGTTAGACAAGAAAATTTAGAATAAATAAAGTTTTAATTTATTATTAGTTTTATTTTTATAATATGGTGTAATTCACTTTTTCCCTAAATATGGTTTACTTACAACTTTGTTCGGGGAATTTTTTTGAAATAAAAAATAGTTATTGAATTTGGCAAATCTAAATTATCTTTTTATAATCAAATAAAATATATATAATGTTAAATCACTATTTTGTAATGCAAAATTAGCACTCTTAGTCTCAGATTATTTTGTAATTATTTTAGTTTGATGTATAAAATAAGATGTAAGATTATTATTTTTGTTTGGTTGAGACACCATTATATTATTGAAATCTAATTTTTCTTTCAACTAAGATTAATAAAAAAATATTGTTTCATCTGTTCGTTAAATATATTAGTGACATACAACTAAAAAATGAAAAGTTATATGATTGATATTGATTTTAAAAAATAAAGAAAAAGTGTGAGTAAAACAATTACAAATATGATTTGAGATAAAATATAATGGCATAAAAAAGGGATTAAAATTTTTAAAAAGTAGAGTATACTATACATTTTTTTGAGTAAAATGAGAAATTTAAAAAACATACTCGGTATAATTAATGGCATAAAAAAGAGATTAAAATTTATATGTTTTTTTACATTTTTGTATATCATACAATATTACTACTCGCAATGTTTTTTGCAACGTATTGATTATTTTTAATAAAAAGTATCCTACATCAGAAAAGTGAGAAGAAGATAATGAACATATAAGCTCTTGAGTTGAATTAATTGTATTTAATCTTTTCATATTTGTTGAATGTTTAAGTTATATTATAAGTGCTGATTTGTTTGTGTGTTGATGTTAAATTGTTCGAATTTGGTTTATTGATTTATTATTGTCTCTGAAATTAGAAAACCTTCTTAGGCTAAAATATTTGACAAAAAAGCTTGAATCTTTGATTTGATTGTTCTTGTTGAATTAATTTAACTTTGAAGAGATTTTAGCTCTATGCTACTGTTAAATCTAAACTCGAAAGATGTTTTAAGAGCTATTATTCACCAAATTTTACTTAAATTGACCAAATTAGGAAAAGAAAACCCCCTAAATAGGAGTAAAACATATATCATATCTTCAAAATAAGAGTTCAAACTTAAACTCCTCTAAATAGGAGTAATTAATTAAATTTTGTTTTGATTTACTCTTCCGCACTAACCACACCACATCCCGGCCCTATGCGGTCGAAAAAGTCGTTCGGCCCCTTCCCAATCCCATCCTTCTACGATCCCCTTCACTCTAATCTCAGTTGCTGTCGTTGTCAACTTAGGGGCTGTTTGGCAACTTCTAAATCGGTAAGTGCTGAACCAGTAAGAGGTCTGAACCATTAAGTGCTGAACTAGTAAGAGGTATGAACCATTAAGAGCTAGTATATTGCTTAACTATTCAGAGGCAAATGTCTGATCAATTCAGATAAGAGGTCTTAACCATTCAGACTCTGTATAATACTTAATCATTCATAGGCAAATCTCTTAACCATTCAGACATCTGAACCATTAAGAGGCTGAAACAAACAGTTTGAACCATTAAGTGCCGAACCATTCAGACATCTGAACCATTAAAAGGCTGAAACAAACAGCCCCTTAATCTCAATCCCCTCCGATCTCCGCCGCTACCATCTTCTCTATGCGGCAATATAATAATTCCACCGCACTCTCCATCATCTCCTTTTCTCTCATACACACAATCTCCTTCCACCCTCTCCACCATTTCTATTTTTCATCGCTCAGATACCTCCGTCCCCTTGGGTAAGTTTGAATTCAATTTGATATTTAATTTGACATAAGTAGTTGAATTCAATTTTAAATCTAAAAAATAAACTTTTTCGGGAATTATTTTGTAAAATTGGTACTAATTCTTTTAGCCTTGCATGAGTTTGAAACTTTTAATCAATTTTATATTCAATTTCACATAGGTTGTGACATTTGGTTTTAAATCTAAATTTTCTTCTTAGAAAATTATTTTGTAAAACATATATTGAAACTAAATGATTATTATGTTGGCAAATAGAGTTTTTTGATGTTTAACTTTTTTGAGATTATGCATTAACATATGTGTTATATGTAAAATTATACATTGGCATATCTGTCATTATACATTGCCAAGTGTGGCACTATATATTGTCATATTTGGCATTATCTCTTGGTTTAGCATTATGCATTTGCATGTATGACTTTATACAATGACATGATTGTCATTATGCGGTTACGTGTGGCGTTAAATGTGGTCTTGTTTGACAATGTATAAACATTTTACTGTAGCAATTTACTGAGTTTCTATTTATTGCTTAAGATTTTAACATATATCTACAAGCTAAGGTATTAATCAGGTCTCATAGAATTATTGATTAAGAATTTTGGCAGTAAGAGTGGTCTTGTTTGACACTCTATGGGCCTGAGGCAACACTTAAAGGTAATGTTTATCATCATCAAATCAAAATATTTGAGTTGTGAATTAGGATACACATATAAATATTCAGGAGCAAGGTAGAAATAGCCGTATCTGAGCTTTAGGTGTGATTTTGTTGTCATCCCTTGACGATATTTGAGTTGTGAATTATTAGTACTTAGCCGTTATTTTGATAAAAAAATAAATATAATGTCCTATTTTATTTTCTGACTCGAAAATATAAACTATTTGTAAAGCCAACCTTTTATTTCAAAAAATAGGTAATTAGGTTGATCTCGTAAAAAGATGACTAAGAGCATAAAGCTTTTTAAGTTTAGACTTTGGTGTAAAAAGTTATGAGCAAAATAGATGTTATAATTCAATAAATAAATATAAAGATTTTATAATATAATAATAATAAATAATCAATTTCCTAATCTATTGTAATTTCTAGTCATAAGTCAATGCCAATGCCCAGCCCTCCCTTAAGTGTGTAAATACACACGCATGCAAGAAAATAAAAAAAAACAAAGGAAGGGAGAAGAGAGAGTGAGAAGAAAGAATTGAGTACAAAAATGAACTAATTAGTCTTATTTAGAAGAGTTTAAGTTTTAGCTCCTATTTGAGAATATAACATACTCCGTAATTTTTACTCATAGTTTGGCCCTTCTCCCAATTAGGATCGCAACTTAATCCAGTTTAAACAGATATTCTTTTAAAGTCCAATGTGGAAAAAATACATTGTATTACTCCCTCCGTCCCCAATTTGATTATAAATTGAGCTTTACGAGGAGAAATATCTCACCTTTCGAAATCATTTTATTTACAAATCGGTATATTGATAAAAAATGATAATTATGTATTAAAAAACTACGTTAAAAGATCTACAAACAAAGAGGTGACAAAAATATTTTATTTTATCAAATACTTAATGAAATCACGTAAATAAACAAAAGTTATCGAAAGGAGAGAGAGAAAAAAAATTGTAATCAAATTAGGAACGGAGGGAGTATGAGATAACTTTAATATAAATATATTAATTTTGAAATATAGTTTTCAAATATCAAATTTTTATAAAATATATCTACGTATAAATAAAGATATTAATGGTCAAAGTCCAATTTTGAAACCGTAAAATGTCAAATGAGAAAAATATTTCCGGACGGAGGTAGTATTCTTTTTTAGTACTCCCTCCGTCCCAAATTATTTGTCACATTTGCTTTTTCAACAGTCGCGAGAATTTTTGTTTATTTTTACGTTTTCATTGATTATTTGATAAAATAAAATATTATTGACCTCTCTTATTTTGCTTCGATAATAGAAATGTGACAAATAATTTGGGACTGTATAAGTGTAGCTTGATTGATTTAAAAATTGAGGTACGTATTGGTCGGCGGGTCAATGGACCCCTAGGTCCTGTGTGGGTCCGACCCCTACGTACGAGTGCAAACGTACGTGTCAGCACACTACAGGGTTACGAAACAGAGCATCGTGAGTCCACGAACGTTGTTCTGTTCTTTTTTCACTTCTTCTTCCCTGTATTGCAGACCTCTCTAGCCTAGTCTATATGCGCTTCCTTCCTTCCTTCTCTCTCTCCCTCCGAAAGAAGGGAAGAAAAAAAGAGAAAGAAACAAACTTTGTGCATACAATAAGCAAAGGCCGAACGCACAAAAGCTCGATTGCCTCCCTCCGGCTGTACTCGAAAAGAACGATGACACTGCCAAACTCCACCGAAAGCCTTATCACACGGCGCAATCTAGCATCCACCCGTCAATAAAGATCTCCGCATTCTTCGCGTCGAGGAACCCTTTCTTTATTTTAAAGCCAATCTCTTTCGTTCGCCGTAGGTGCATTTTTAGTTGCTCCAACGAGATAAAAATCTCTGCATTTTCTTTCACTCCCCACTATCATCAGGTACGTATTTTTTCCACCGTTTCTTCCTCTGTTTTCCCTTTTAGACTAACAAATTAAGGTATTGCGAAACAATATAATTTACATACCTTTGTGTTTGCTTTTGTGTTTGTGTGATCGTGACATCTGGAGAGGGGTAGTAGTATACTCTGTTTGTAATAATTCATTTCTTCAGTTTTAAGTGGAGGCAGCAGATCTGGAATTTGATATTTCATTTATACATTGTAGCCTTAGATCTAGAATTAAGTTTATGGCGTTTCTTTTATCCCTTTTTTGAGAATTTGAAGAAGATGATCTGCTTGTATTGTTTGAATGGATGGGGGGATTTTGTTGTACTGAAATGTTGACAATGATCAATTGATCGTGAATGAATTTGCTTTGACAGAGTCTCTATCTGCACTCACTACGATTGTGATAGCATTCCTTCTATATTGCGGTTGCAATGAGGGGGCGTGAGAGCGATATATACTCCGCTTACAAGCGTGCATTTAACAAGGAAAATCTTCATCCGCACGGGAGAGATGAAATAGGTATGACTACCTTAGCTACCTTCTTGAGTTATTGAATGTGTGTGATTTTAGAGCATGTATGAGGGACCGTTATTTAGGTCTGTTAGCATTAGGTAATGTTGATGATCTTTTGATGTTGCTGTACATGGTTAGACCACTCACAGAATGGAGGTGGTTATGAACAAGAGGTGGGGAATCCCTCCTGGAAACGTCCCTTGCCACACATACTGGTGGCGACTCTCTCGTCATTCTTATTTGGCTACCACCTCGGGTATGGTGTCAAATATGCAATTTAAGTGAATTACGTTTGCTCAAGACGAAATATCTTTTCATAACATTGATTTTTGGCTTTTTTTGTTTGTTTTTTATGTTTATAGGGTGGTTAATGAAACTCTAGAAAGTATGTCTTTGGATCTTGGCTTTGGTGGTAGTGCCATGGCTGAAGGTATGTATCCATTTTCTGAGATGAATCTTTATTATATTTGCCTCGGTGTCATGTTTCGCTTGATTCTGTTGTTTAGGTTCCTGTTCATCCAGTAGGTGTTTTTCAACTGTAGGTCTGGTGGTCAGTACATGTTTAGCAGGTGCATTTGTTGGCTCTGTATTTAGTGGCTGGATTGCAGATGGGGTCGGTCGCCGTAGAGCATTTCAGTTGTCTACTTTGCCAATGATCATTGGTGCTTCTATAAGGTAAGGGCCCATCCAATATTGTATTCTTACTTACTCACGAAACTGGTAGTTTCTTTGTGCCAAAATATTATTCCCACTTTCCTTTAACGGTTGTCCCACAATTTCTTGTCTTTTTTGTTTTAAGAAAATAAAATCTCAGTATATGGTTCGTATTAATGATTTTGTTTCTAAAATAAATTTTACCCAAGAAATTTCACTTCACTGCCCAAGAGCAAATTGAGACAGAGAGAGTTATGGATTTAGTGCATTTACTCTTTGATAATGATCATATGATTTGTTGCTTAAATAACGTGAAAAGGTTATGGTGATCATGTGAATGCAAGGGAAAAATGAGAAATGCTTTCCTAAGGTTTGATGAGCTTTTCTACTACTACCTCTATCCAAAAAGAAGTCATGTTTCAAAAAAGGTTATCACTTTTTTATTTTTCTAAGGAATAACTCTTGTAAATTATTAACTCTACATTAATTTTAAACTCGTTTGTTAGTCGAACTAAATTGTTTTGTTTGGAAAACTATTTCTTCACAAATTACATTACGTTCTACAATATTTTTTTTGCTCGAACAAGACTTTTGTTTTCAGACTAAAGAATTTGAAACAAAACTGTTTTTTATGACATTGGGTATATATCTCTTAATTTAACTAAAGCCTATTGAATCACACAAGTGCAGTGCCTCAACAAGTACTCTTGGAAGTATGCTTATTGGAAGACTTTTTGTTGGTACAGGGATGGGCCTTGGTCCTGCTGTTGCTGCTCTCTATGTGGCAGAGGTAAAAATTACACACTCTATATTATTACTTGCTCCCAACAAGAGTTATCCTCAATTTACTATGACATTACCATTCGTAAAATATATATACTGCAACTATATGTTTGAGCAGGTCTCACCTGCCTTTGTACGAGGAACATATGGGAGCTTCCCTCAGATTGCAACATGTAGCGGTCTAATGTGTTCTCTCTTTATTGGCATTCCATCCAAAGATGTTGTTGGTTGGTATGTCACTTTCAATTTGGATTGTGATATTTGTCATTGCATTTAGGGCCTATTTCTGAATGCCACAAAGCAGTTAGGTGGACAAATATCACTATAATATCTTTTCTGATGATACTCAGGTGGCGAGTTTGTTTTTGGGTGTCTACTGCACCTGCCGTGCTACTTGCTATACTGATGGAATTCTGTGTAGAAAGCCCCCATTGGCTTGTTAAGGTTATATTTTCTTGTTTCTGCTTCACTTCGGGCTTTGATGTTTTCTTATCCTGAAAACTTGTATGTGGTTTGTAAATAAAAAAAAAGCATCACTTCATGTTCAACCAAAGCACCAAATTCTAAGCAACCTACAAGGTTTCGTATGAGCCTTGTGATCTCAAACTATAAAAATGCTATATTACTAGTCGTTTTCACACGGAATGCATGTCGACTTGGAACAGAGAGGAAGAATTACAGCAGCTGAAGAAGAGCTTGAGAAACTGGTAGGAGTGTCACACGTTAGCTTTGCCATGGCAGAATTTTCTAAGTCTGACAAAGTAGATGAGGTTGATAATGTTAAGATGTCAGATTTAATTTATGGCCATTACTTTAGAGGTACTGATTGCTGGTTGAAAAATCAAATTTAATGTATGATTCTCTTCATAAAGTTGACCACTCAATGCTTTGTGCAGTGGTTTTTGTCGGGTCTTCCTTATTTGCTTTGCAACAACTATCTGGTATAAATGCCGTCTTCTATTTCTCTTCAACGGTGTTTAAAAGTGCTGGAGTGCCTTCAGATATTGCAAACATCTGTGTAGGGATTGTAAATCTTACAGGTATCCATTGGAGATCCATTTCCATCCTATTTCCCTTACAAGTCTTTCTTTTTACATTTGCTTTTCCCTTTTGAAGTGTAATATATGTTTCGGATGTGGATGGTTTTAAAATTTTGTAAAACACTCAGTACCTCGATCATCACACGAATTCATAATATGTGACATTACATAGTAACAGTATCACACAAAAAAGTCACATGATAGTGTACATTATGGGATAACCGACGGGCCATGGTGTCTTTATAACAATTTTCTATTAACTTATCTAGTGCCTCTCTGCAGGGTCCATTATTGCCATGACTCTAATGGATAAACTTGGAAGGAAGGTGCTTCTTCTCTGGAGTTTCTGGGGCATGGTAAGTAAAACATTCTATTGATCTAACAATAATCATTACTGCACTGAAAGAGAGTTCTGATGTCATTTTAAATGCTTGTAAATTGCTTTTGAGATTTTGTTTTTCTTTATTCAGACAATGGCAATGTTTACTCAAGTACTGGCATCATTCTCGTTCATACCAGACTCCGCAAAACTATATCTATCTGTTGGTGGCATCCTAATGTGAGTAAAGTCATTTTTTAGTTAATTCGTGAGTTCTTGCAAATCCATGATTTTGCACAACAATACGGCTGATTTCGTATCATTGTCAAAATACAGTAACATTTGCGCATTGTAAAACACTACAAATTATTCAGGTTTTTTCCCCGGTATTTTTCCGACTTTTGAAGAAAAAAAACAATAAATTTTTTTGTTTTCAATTCTTTATGGTGATTTTGTAATATGATATATAGTACAAGCATATATGAATGAACTTATGACACATTTGCGATAAATTAAAACATAATTTCATCATTCAGATTTATTTTAATCAAGTCCAGAAGGAGAAATACTTCTTTTATGTCCTTTGATGGTGTTTGGACTTGTTTTTTAATGTTGTCATATTTTTCGATATCTTGTGCATTATCGAATGCCATTATGTAATGTTTGAAGTATTGTTTGAAGACTGATACTTCATTGGTTTGTGTTTTAATGTGGTAAGAATCTTAGATTTTACACAAATTTATCTTAGCGGAGCAATAACAGTTCAATGTGTGTACAAGTTAATTTCTACTGCTAATTTATCATATTACTGTATTCTTTCTAAAAATTACTAGTAATTTTAAGGTTAAAAAAGTATAAATTAATTGATCAAGTTTTCAAATCATGTAGATTCTTATTTCCTACAAAGGAAAAAAAATTCACCAGAAGTTATATAATGAAATGTTAAAATATTGATTTTCAAGTCATGTACTAAGCGGAATTTTATACATACGTGACACACAGTACTATTCAAATGTATCAGCATTTTAAAAGTCAGTGTAAATTTGGCGGAATATAAGCAGTTTCAAATTGTACATTGAAAGATTTTTTGTAAGTGTAATTCTTGTCCTCAAAGTAGATGGACTTGCTTCCTTATTGAGGTTCGCTCCGTATGTATAAATGGCTCGGCCTGACTTCACAGTCACCTAATTGAAGCTAAATTGTTTTCATTCACAAATTTTGAGTTTATTTTGTAGGTTTGTGTTGGCGTTCGCTTTCGGCGCCGGACCAGTTCCCAGTCTGCTCCTTTCAGAGATATTCCCAAGCCGGATTAGGGCTAAGGCAATGGCAGTCTGCATGTCTGTGCATTGGGTAATTTCTTCCCTTTCATCTCCTAGCCTATCATAATGACACAGTTTCACTCTTTCATTGATTTAAAAACAATATATGAAGTTTACTAATGGTGTGCTTTGGTTTCATGACAGGTCATAAACTTTTTTGTTGGACTTTTGTTTCTCCTTCTGCTAGAAAAGCTCGGACCACAAGTTCTGTACACAACGTTTGGCGGCTTTTGCTTGATAGCGGTGGCCTTTGTGAGGAGGAATGTGGTTGAAACAAAGGGGAAAACTCTTCAAGAAATTGAGTTTGCCCTCCTTCTCCCTCACTAGTTGTGGTTAGTTATTGGTACACAACATCTTTCCACTCTCATTTGCTGCATCCTTTTTTTTCCCACTCTTATAATATGCAATGGTGGAAGCTCTGTATTTATAGAGGTAGTCCCAGTATTTGAGGTTTTGTACAAGTAGGCAACTAGCATATATAGAGCACCACAATTCATTTGTCTCCGTGAATAGTAGTTTGGATGAAGGCTGCCCATTCTTGGGCTTGTTTCCTCATAGATGTCAAAAACTCTTCATTGTGGCCGAAGAATGATTGTTAGTCTATTTTTTGCTAAAAATTTTGCGAAGGCGTTTTTGGGACTAAATTCTTCTGCTTTGTGTTAACTTAGCAATTTTGTTTAATATAAAGTTAGTAAGAAACCTATGGGCGTTGTATGTGATGGTATAGTATAGTATATTAATTGATGATGGTTTAAAAACCAGAGAAATGTTTAGATATTTTGTTAAGAAACGAGGAGTTTAGGAATTATGACTATGTTGACGACAGTGAAAGTAGTGTTGAAGATGAACAACGAACTCACAAATTTCACGACACCCTCTTTATATTCATCTTCAATTAATGATGGATGGTTGTCGCCTCGTAGTTAAGGTAAAAGAGTGTGACATTGAAACTCATGTTTTAGAGTATTTCTTTGGTGCATCTTGGATGCATATCATTTTTGTAAATCTTCTCATATAATTTTTTTTTAATTCTTTTATGAAAAAAATAGATGCTTATTTAAGTAGTAAGAAAAAATTTATTTTACTCATATGTAGGTCCATAGTGAACCTTAAATTTACCATAGAATTTGCTCTTGTTTTAATGTACAACCACGTTCTTAGTGGATAAAAAAACATATGGGAAAAACTAAGCCTAGGAGAATCTTCCCTAAGGGAAATGGCATAACTCTTAGTGATTATAATGTTATCAACTATTTTATGTAATTGGATTTATTTAAATCAAATAAGAACTTGAGTATATGTTGTCAAATAAATTAAGAGGTACAGAGTGCACACCCGTTAATTTTGAAGAACGGAGGGGGAGTATGTGTTAATTTTTCTAGGATAAAAATATGGAAATAACGAAAAAGAAAGGTAATGCCTTCATGTCAATGGAAGAAAGATCTTCTTCCATGGAGTGGCTCCAATCGAAACAAAAAAGAATGGGAGAGGATGAAGAGAAATTATGGTTCAAGAAGAAGGCTCTAATACCATGATACAATAATGAACGAAACTCAAATATATTAGGTCTAGACTAGACAGTACAATACGTGGAAAGAGAGTGAATCTAGTAATTACTACATACAAAGTACATGATAACACCTGAGGAAGGTAAGGTATTATGCATCCCTTGTGGGTAAATATGACACCTTTTGGGGTGAATTATTTGGCTGTTAATAACAAAAATTGAAGGTAAGGTATAAACCGTATAATTCAAATAGGTACCATGCAATTTTTCATTGAATTTTTTACGAAAAATATTACTCAATCCGTTCCACAAAACCTTTCTCCTTTCTTTTTTAATCCATCTTAAAAAATCGTTCTCATTTTTATTAAAAAGATACTTTTACCCTTATTAATTTTTAATCTACCTATCACATAACACTTTTTCACTATTAAATTGTTCATCTCATCATATTTTTACCCATCACATCCAAGAGTATCTTTAGAAAGTGAATATCAAAATACACTCTCCTTAAATCCTTTAAAAATCAAAACTAGAAAGGCTTTGTGGGACAGAGTGAGTATAATATATGCTCCTAAACTTCTTTTTGAGATTACAAGACCATGAAAGAGGAGTATAGGTTGATGAGATTAAATCAAATCCAATAAAAAAACTTGACTCAATATAGCTACTTCAACTATCTACAAAAGAAATTACATAGGGACACATTATGTGGGATTTTGATCAATCTCTCAACAAAATACATATATACATACAATCTCAATCATTTTGCCAACCTCTCAATGAACTCCATTATATTTCTATAGTTAGTCACAATCACTAATTTTAAAGAGCGTCGTCATGCATTGAAGAGAACGATGAATATTAATTAGGTCAATATATACCGTCTATGCTCTCTCAAGGTAAGAACTTTTCTTGGTATTCACTATCTCAGGTGGTTTAGCCGTCATTCCAAATTTCATGTTGTTTTCTTTCTTGGAATCAGGGTCTGTTGCTTGGTCTAACGTTGTCCAGCCCATGAAATCCAATAATGTCATTGATGTAGTCGTTTCAGTAGTCGCAGCAGCATTGGGCTTCTCCCCTTCTTCTTTAGGGGTTGGGGTTTTGACCATAGATGATGACGGCGATGATGATTCTTTTAGAGCGGTGTTGGCGCTCTCGGTCGGATTTTGGGCCGCATAATCTGCATGGAGAACGTCTTCTATCCGTGATAAGACTGTGAACGCCAAGCTTTCAATTATGCGTGAATAGCTCTCTAGAACCGCATGTCCCACATTCTAGAAATGTAAACATCACTAGACAAATTATTTGAGGCGTACCAGAAAGATATATATAAGAACAATGTATAATATTTTAGGCCTCGTTTGGTACACGGAATTCAAACTATGGAATTGGAATTAAGAACTTGAATTCTAATTCTGGTACTCCCTCCGTCCTATATTTAACTTCCCGTTTTGACTTGAGCTCATTTTTAAGAAAGAGTAAAAATTCCTTTGACTTTCCAAAATTGCCCCTCAACCCTTCTACTTCGCTGCCCCTGATTATTGACGTGAGCTTGCCTAACTCCAACAAAAATCATCCAACCACCACAAGCATATATATCCAACAAATTCAAGCTTTTGGAACAGAATCGATTCATCTGTTCTGAAATAATTTTTTTTTGCATATATATACGCTTCATGTATATCAGTAGATACGAAGGAAGATAATCACACATGAGCCTTAAATCGATCATTGACTCCACCCAATTCAAGAAATTTGGTGTATCAAAAACACACCCAACATTAAAAAGGGGTAAAATCAAAGATGTTAAAAAACACAGATCTGAAATACTCCGTAGAAAGAATTAAGTATAAGATGCAATAGAAAAAAATGGATCTGCTCTT